TAAATTGACCACTGCAGGAATTATGAACAGTCTTAAAATAAGCCGAAATAAAATTGACAACAATGTCAATGTCACAGTCAGGGGGCAGTAGAGAGCAACGTGTGGACGCTGCAGCGAGCAGAACCGATACGATTTTGTTTCCAGAGTCCAGTGATCAAATATCATCCTCCTTTACATACATGACTGTAAATAAAGACCCGGACTAAACATGATCTGTTGATCCTGCATATCGATGCTTGATCGTTTAAGAAAGGATAACCTATCCTATCTTTAAGGTTTTTAGTGTTTTTTTAAGTTTTTACCTGAAAGACAAAGCAAATGGTTAGTGACCAAATGAACGCAGAGGGTCTACATTCAAAGACTCTGTTCAGGCGGTCAATGACGCCAATCGGTGACGTTAATTCTGGGTTGGAGTTTTCCATTCAAGGAAAACGTGACCAGTGAAGAGCTGAGCCAATCAGGAGCAGGCGACCGCCCACTGCTCATTAACTATAGCATTTGAATACTTAGTTGGTTCCTTTTTAGTCTTGAAGTTGAAATATTTTCAAAGTAACTCATCAGTTAAAATAAGTCATTAATGACTTATACATTATATAAGTATTTATTTTATATGGTATAACTATACATTATATCAACTAGTAATTTTTGTTTTGTTTTGTTTTACAAATAACATGACAAAGTAAAGACAAAGTGACTAAATGATCGCAGATAATCTACAATCAAATACTTTGAAGAATATTATAATGAAGACTTAGATTTCTATTTTGTTTTTACATTTCTTTATCATTTCTCTTTATCACATATCAAGTGAATATTAAACTTAGTCACACGACTGATGGAGGTACCACAAAGACAAAATCAAGTTTCTCGTCCACCTCCTCTTTCCTGATGTTGGAAATGTCCTTGTTTCTCCTGAGTTCTTGAGGCCAGAGTCCTTCAGGAACTGGTTTCAACATCAGATGGTGCACTGTCCTCAGCCTCTGAAGGTTATCCAAGGGTGCAATGCTGTACAGTTGGAGCCTTCATCACAGTATGGATTATGGGATTCCAAACATCCATACAAGGAACTTTACCTCCTCTTCTGATCTCTAAAATTCATGGACACAGATGAAGATGCAGAACTGTATGATATGGGAAACAATTTGAAACTGCTGGAAAACCCCTAATGGCTTGTTGGTTTTTTATGCTCTTCTTCTTCCTCCCAGCATCAAGATGTTGGGCAGAAGGGGCAACAGTCTCTCAGATCCCTGCTGCTGGTAGCATTGTGACTGACATTTTTTAATTATGGTGTCAGTAAGTTCTGTCTATTGATGAGCCGCCAACACAAAAAGTTGGGGTAGATTTCAGCCGGGGCGTCTTGTCGTGGAAGTATTGCGCTGCACATTCTTCCTCTTGCCCAAATCAGGAAGACGCTGTGACAGAGTGCAGCTGGTTTGTTGTAGAGAGAGGTAATCAGCATTTGCATTTAAAAGCAGGTAGATCAGGGCATCAGATCCCAGGCTGATGATTCATCCAGAGGCATGTTTAACATGAAGCATGAATTGGGTTTGGAATGATTTCTGATGCCTCCAGTGATTGTTGCAGGAAACTCACTTCTGGAGAGGATGTGCAGAGCACCGCTCACTGTTTCACTATAGAGAAGGTCAAGGCAGTTTCTTATTATCTGGCATCTTGAGGTGCTTGTCTAACTCTTTTTCTTTTGTGTGCAGGTTGGCCTGCTACTGTTTCAGTTTTAGTTTTGTTTCAATTTCAGTGATGCATTAGTTTAGAATTTCTTTTCAGGATAGTTATTATTAATCAAAAGCATTTTTTATTGTTATTTATTTATTTTGTCTAAAGAAGGGGAGTTTTTCGTCCAGCCCTTTGGTTTCTCTGTAAAACAAAAAGATGTCGCTGTCTTTGGGTCCCAAGCTGTTTATCTAGATTGAGGAGACTATAGTGGAAGGGGAGTTTTGCTTTAGTTGCTTCAGGATTTTTGTGACTGTGTTTTTGTTGGGGAACACTCAAGTGTATTTAGTCATATTTGTGTTGTCTCTATTATTATTCCTCCCCCAAGCATTTCATAGGCTTTTGTGAGCTCAATAAACTGTTTAATTTGCAAAGGTGCCTCTGGTAATAATTAAACTTATCTGTGTGATCATGTAAAAGGAGAATTTAAGGTTCTCCACACATAAGGTCACATATAAAATTCATATTTATGTAATGAAGACGCTGTGAAGGACTTATATTAACTGAGATGAGTCACTTTGAAAATATTTCAACTTCAAGACTAAAAAGGAACCAACTAAGTATTCAAATGCTATAGTTAATGAGTAGTGGGCGGTCGCCTGCTCCTGATTGGCTCAGCTCTTCACTGGTCACGTTTTCCTTGAATGGAAAACTCCAACCCAGAATCAACGTCACCGATTGGCGTCATTGACCGCCTGAACAGAGTCTTTGAATGTAGACCCTCTGCGCTCATTTGGTCACTAACCATTTGCTTTGTCTTTCAGGTAAAAACTTAAAAAAACACTAAAAACCTTAAAGATAGGATAGGTTATCCTTTCTTAAACGATCAAGCATCGATATGCAGGATCAACAGATCATGTTTAGTCCGGGTCTTTATTTACAGTCATGTATGTAAAGGAGGATGATATTTGATCACTGGACTCTGGAAACAAACTCGTATCGGTTCTGCTCGCTGCAGCGTCCACACGTTGCTCTCTACTGCCCCCTAGGAAAGGTTGGGCCTGTAATAGCAGAGATTTATCTATTCTGCGTAGAATATTTTTCACCAAAATGGAAAGTATTTCCAGATTTACCTACACTGCACATACATTAGGTGTAGTGGCGATTGTTTGTCAAACCAAACATCCAATAAAAAGTTCCATCAGCCACTATGAGGCACTGGGGTCCAGATTCTTAACACAGGCAAAAGAATCCCAAGGTCCAAACTTGTTGATTTTCTTTGTTGCTTTTATTTTCCTTTTATGCAAGCAATTACAATTATCAAACTTTTCTTTGTTCTCTGGCACTGCTCTCTCTCTCTGTTCTCTCGCACTGCACTGATCTCTTGCACTGGTAAAAACCATAGGCCCCAAACCCAAATGCCTGTTGGTCCTTTACCAGGCCCCTACATTTATAGAAGGTGGACTGACCGCCTCACTTCCTGTCTAGCTTACAAATGATAAAAAATAGGAAAAAATAAGAAAACAAAACAAACTATAAAATCAATTATTAACCTGCAAATAAACTCTGTAAATAATGCAAAAAATAGAAGTTTAAGAATAAACTAACAAAATTCAAATAGATAAAGAAATAAAGAATAAATAGCTCCAACACTCCGGCCCCTAATTGCAAATACTGTCGCAATTACTTTAACAAGGAAAAGGAGCTATTCCATCAAACATGTCCATACTTTCTCAGTGTGATGCTTCCAGTAGCAACAGAAGTTTGGTCACAGGTCTTTCCAAAACACTGGTCTTCGTTTGCAGTTGCACAGAACGCACCAAGCCTTTTGCATCCTGGTTTACATTTAAGACTTTGGCCATCATCCAGGATCCTCTTGGAGCTGTAGAGTCTGCAATTAAAACAACATCTCCAGTAAGACATCTTTTAGTCCTTGTCCATTTTTGTCTTTCCTGCATCAGAGGTAAGTACTCAGAAAGCCATCTTTTCCAGAACAACTCTGCCATGTATTGCACTTGTTTCCACCTTTTTCTGACATAAAGATCCTTTTGACTGAACAATCCTGGTGGCAAAACTGGTTTGTTCTTCAACAACAACAAATGGTTGGGTGTGAGTGCCTCAAGATCATTTGAGTCATCTGACACTTTGGTAATGGGTCTGTCATTTAATATGGCTTCAACTTCACAAAAGATTGTTTGAAGTCCTTCATCATCTAAAACTTGTTCTTTGAGAACTGAGACTAAAATACTTCTAATGGAACGAATCAGACGCTCCCAAAATCCCCCTTGGTGAGAGGCTGCAGGGATGTTAAAGTTCCATTTCATTCCATCCTGCACAAAAGCATTTTGAATTTTAGCATGATTCAGTTCAGCCAAACTCTCTTTCAGCTCTCGATTTGCACCAACAAAATTTGTGGCATTGTCGGATCTAATTGTGGAAACTGGACCTCTTCTACAGATGAACCTGCGGACTGCATTTATACAGGAATCTGTATCGAGAGTGTAGGCAATTTCCAGATGTACTGCATGGCTGGTGAAACAAGTGAACAGAACTCCATACCTTTTCAGGAGACTTCGTCCTCTTTTAACACTTACAGGACCAAAGTAATCCACTCCTACGTTTGTGAAAGGAGCGGTGGTTGGCAGAACTCTTTCTCCTGGCAGATCTGCCATTTTTTGTTCAACAAACTATCCTCTGTTCCGTCTGCAAACAACACAATGAGAGATGATTTTTCTGGCAGCTGAATTACCATTTATTATCCAGTATTTTTGTCTCAATCTGGACAGCATATGAGTTCTCCCTGCATGTCCTAACTGTTGATGAATATGGCGTAAAATCAGGGTAGATACATGCATATCCTTTGTCAAAATTACAGGATGCTTTGCTTCGACAGGCATGGCTGTTTTATTCAATCTGCCACCCACTCTAAGAACTCCAGCATCCAATACTGGGTCAAGTTTGCATAGAGAACTTCTCCGAGAGACTCCTTTAAGGCCACTGGTGATGAAAGCCATTTCAGTAGCAAATTTCTGTTGTTGTGCAAACTGAATGATAGATAGTTCTGCCTTGGCCAAGTCTTCAGGAGTTAGATTTTCTTTCTTTAGAGTAGTCTTGAATCTTTGCATCTGCTTTTCCAGTTCTTTCTTTTGATTTTCTGGATCAATTTTATTTAGGTCTACAGCAGCAAACTCTTTTCTTTTCTGTTGCAGCAACATGAGGATGTTTTTCAGCTTTAAAAACCAGGCAACAGAGGTTTTAAGCTTTGTCCATGATGAAAAATAATGAATCAGATAGTTTGTAGCATTTTCTGATTCCTTCACAACAACACTTACTGTTAGGTCCTTCTTGACCTCTGGGTCATCTGCAGGAATTGCATGGTGATCCACATCCAGTTTGGGCCATTCCTCCTCTGATCTGTGGAGAAATTCAGGTCCATTTATCCATCTCCTGCATTTGAGGAACTCCTCAGCTCTCATGCCTCTAGATGCATCATCTGCAGGATTCTCCTTGGAGGAAACATATCTCCACTGATTCACATCTGTTGCTTCTCGGATAACAGAGATTCGGTTTGCAACAAAGGTGTGAAATCTTCTAGTTTCACTGGAAATATATTTTAGTACTGTTCTACTATCAGTCCAGAAAACAGGTTTTTCCAACTGTATTTGCAGCTCTTTCTGCAGCAGTTTATTTACTTGAACTGCAAGAACAGCAGCTGTCAATTCCAACCTCGGGATTGTCGTTTGCTTCATGGGGGCAACTCTTGTTTTTCCTAAAATGAAAGCAACATGTGAGATGTTATTCTTTTCCAGTTTTAAATATGACACTGTTCCATAGCCATCTTGACTTGCGTCAGAGAAATGATGAAGTTGTGCTTTATCTGGTTTCCTGATGCAACTTGGTTTGATGCAACGATCCACTTTAAAACTGGATATCAGCTGGAGATCCTCCAGCCAATCAAGCCACTTCCTAGAGAGAGAATGGGGAATAACTTCATCCCACTTCAAATTTTGTCGACAAAGTTCTTGTAGCAACAGTTTAGCTGGCATACTGAAGGGAGCCAGGATTCCCAAGGGATCATACAGTGAGCTAACCACAGACAAAATGCCCCTTCTGGTGTGTGGACGGTCCTGCACAGAGGTTCTGAACTTGAACTCGTCTGTTTCAATGCTCCTGTAAACCCAATACTCTCTCAACTGGAAGCTGATCTGTGTCCACATCCAGATTCTTAATTTCTTTTGCTCTCCTTTCCTCTGGGATTGACATGAGCACTCTGCGACTATTGCTGACCCATTTTGAAAGCATGAATCCTCCTTTAGAGCAGAGGTCTGTCAGCCTCTTCACCAGAAACACTGCATCTTCTTCTGTAGGAACAGATTTTAAACAGTCATCCACATAAAAGTTATTTTTGATTGTGTTAACCACTTCAGCTGGAAACTGTTGTGTGTTATCATCAGCAATTCTTTGCAGAGCATAATTTGCACAGCTGGGTGAAGACACTGCACCAAATAAATGAACCAACATCCTGAACTCTTTTACAGGTTTTGAAGTGTCACCCATGATGCCACCACAGGAAACGGAGAAAGTTGACATGTTTTTCAGAGACATACACTTGGTGAAACATGGCGTCAATGTCAGCCATTAGTGCAACAGGCTCTTTTCTAAATCTGATGAGGACTCCAACCAGAGAGTTTGTGAGGTCAGGTCCTTGTAGAAGCTGACTGTTCAGTGATACTCCTTTAAAAGTTGATCCACAATCAAATACAACTCTTAACTTGCCTTTTGTGGGATGATACACCCCATGATGAGGAATGTACCACAGTTGTCCATCACCTTTCTGAAGCTCATCTGCTGGTACAGCCTCCGCATGTCCTTGCTGCAGCATGTTGTTTACGCATGCAGTGTATTCCTCCTTGTACCGAGCATCCTTTTCAAATCTCCTTCTGAGGCTCTGGAGGCGCTGCTCTGCAACACAGATATTATTTGGCAAGCTGGGACGTTCACTCCTGAAAGGTAAGTCAATATGATAATGACTTCCAACAAGTTTTGTCGAGTTATTGACAATGTTCATGAAATGCAAATCCTCTCTGGACATTTCAGTTTTCTCTTCTGATGATCTTTCATTAAAATCATGATTGTACTGCTGGACCAGCATTTCTTTAGATGCTCAACAGAGATCCTGTTGGCTGTTACAGCAGTGCAGACATTTTTATTTCTGCTGTTGCTTCTAGTGCGCAAAGGACCATTTATGACCCAACCAACTTTAGTTTTTACAGCATAAGGCCCACCATCCACACTGTTTATCACCTCCCAGGGCTCTAAAACATTTGAAGCATCAGTTCCTATCAGTAGTTCCACTTTGCATTGATGTGATGAAGCTTAACAGGCTTAAGATGAGGCCACTGATCAATGTCTTTTGCTGGGGAATATTCAATGTAGAAACTGGCATGGTACTCTGAGTCAAAACATCTGGTAATGCTATGAAGTCATTTGTTTTCAAATTAGAGATTTCCAAACCAGACAAAACTTGTACATTAACAATCTTATTTTGATTCATTGTTCTCAGCAGAATATTTGTCCTTTTACCCTTTAAGTTCAGTCTTTTTGCCAGAGTTTCTGTACAGAACGTACCTGAACTTCCTGGATCCAGAAATGCATAAGTTTGTACAATTTTTGTTGCTCTTTTGACTTTTAACTTTCACTGCAACAATAGAAAAAAACAGCATCATCATCATGACCGGCCCCAATATGCCCACATGTCTGAGTGGTTGCAGTTGAGAAGTTGACATGAGACCCTTTTGTCTGTTGGGTTTGTTCTGAAGAGGCTTCTGGCTCCTTTTGCTCTATGTGAAGAACCCCGGATGCCTTTGGTGACACACGTTGCAATCCAAACGACTCCTGCAGTCTTTGCTTGTGTGACCAACTTTCAGACAACCTAAACAAATCCCCCTTTGTTTAATGAAGGTCAACTTGTCCCGATGCATTTTAGCTTTAAACTGCATACAGTTTTCCAATAATGATTTCTTTGTAAACAAAACAAGCAGCTGTGAAGAACAGTAGACTTGGTCTTATTTTCAGTTGACTGAGTTTTGGCGTCTAGTATTGTGTTGACATTTGTGGCAAAACTGCTTCCTTTTTTCCTTTGCTTGCTGGAACTTGAGACTTTAGAGTTGAACCTAGTTTGTGGATCTTGGATGTCGCCGAACACTGGATCTGATGCTACGTTTTACTTCTTTTACTATAAAAGCAACCAGATCAGTGAACAAAGCTCGGTGGCCATTTTGCTCCTGCAGCTCATAAGCAGTAACTCTCCATTTTTCCCTCAGTTTATATGGAAGTTTCAACACGATCGTTCTCATATTTGAAGGTAAATCCAATTCTTTCATGTAAACAATTTGTTGTGTTAGATTTGAACATCCTTGAAGGAAAAGAGAATGATTGAAGACTTTTCACTCGTCACTTTTATTGGTGTCCAACTCATAATCTTCTCCATATATGCAGAAGCTATTTTATTAATTATTAATTATTATTAAGAAGATATTTGGCCCTGGAATAACCTAGCTCAGGAGGTAAGTGCTGACAACTGTGCACCAGATCTTTAGGCTGCCCCTAGTGAACTGCTCTAAGAAGTGCAAACAGTCGCTCCAGTTGTCAGTTTTAGCTTCCACTCCGTTCTCAAAAGCATTCATAAATGATTTGTATTGCAGGGGATCCCCATCAAACACGGGAATGTTTCTAGATGGGAGGGCAGACGATAAATTTTGCTTTACAAGTAAGGCAGTGATGTCATTTTGTCTTTGCATGATGTTCACAATTTCATTCTGACAGTTCTCAGTCTCAGGGGAACATTGAAATTGTGTTTGCGTTGTTTGAGTTGCAGAATCAACTTTTACTCTCTTTTGATCCGTTTTAAGTTGTTTCTGCTTTTCTTTAGGTCTGACGACAGGAAGGTCAGATGAAGAATTTGCTCTTCCTTTGGGAAAAAACTCATCAGCGCGAGGATTTAGCAGCGGCATGTCCTTTACTTTAGCTCTTTCAAAATAAGAGTTCATTCCATCAGATCGTTTAGAACCAACGACTGAATTCATTAAGACATTAAGTTTTGCATTGGTTGCTGCCAACTCTATTTCCAAATTTAATTTTTCCTTTTCTTTCCTGAGCTTCTCCTCTTGCTCTTCGATCAGATGTTTTTTGTCCAACACGACGAATCTCTCCATGAGCGCCGCCTTTTCAGCTGCAGCTTTAATGCGAGCAGAAGATGTGGATGAAGTCCGAGAATACTGTGAAGATGTTTTTGAACGTGGCTTTACACTTGAAATATTAGAAACACTGTCTTCAGGATTTATTTCATCCACCTCTGCAACTAGATCATCACCAACATTATTGTTTTGTTCAGTATATGGATATCCTGCTTCATGCAACCAAACCTTTACATTGTCCATAAATTCAGAGAATGCCACCACCTTGGACTGAAAATGCACAGTTTGCCTTTTCACTTCTTCTTCTGGCAATGGCAAATTCAAAAAGGATTCATGTAAATCAGTTGCATCTTGATAGCATTTAATAAACTTGACAAAGTCAGAAGACACTTTCTTAACATTTTCTTGTGACGTCATTAATGCGGAGATTTTCTCCACAAGGTTTGAAGCTTGTTTGCACTTTAAACTTCGTTTTTCTTGACATGTTTTCACATAAAACTCCAAACCCTTTTGTGTGAATTTGATGTTTCTTTTCTCTTGTGACATCCGAGTGTCATCCTCTTTGCTCTTTACATCAGACATTTTTAGCAATCCTTTGAATTATTTCAAACCTTTAAAGGGACATTAATCAACAAGGAATCCACAGGATGAAGCACAAACTTGTCTCTTTGTTTAAAGAGGTTGATTCTTGTGAACAAACATTTTCATGATGGGCGTCGGCACACGTCTGAATCCAATTATGCGTCAATTTGTCACATCAAACTCATCTCATCAGTCTTTGCAGTGAAATAATGTCTTTAAACTCCAGTAGTTTCACCGTTTGTCCTTTACGGCTTGAACAATATTATCACGTACCAGTTTGATGAATGAGTGACGTGTCAATCCAGGCCTCACGCAGCAAGTCGCTTGATTTCATCAAAGACGGTCCAAACCTTTTGTTTGATGGTAATCCTTGAGATCCACAAATCCAACATGTCCATTAAGGAGGAATTATTCCTTTTAATCCACAGGCTGGTTCCTTACTTGATCCATGAGAAGGTCTTTACTTGTTCCACAGGGTGGTTTTTACTTGATGTAGTGGCGATTGTTTGTCAAACCAAACATCCAATAAAAAGTTCCATCAGCCACTATGAGGCACTGGGGTCCAGATTCTTAACACAGGCAAAAGAATCCCAAGGTCCAAACTTGTTGATTTTCTTTGTTGCTTTTATTTTCCTTTTATGCAAGCAATTACAATTATCAAACTTTCTTTGTTCTCTGGCACTGCTCTCTCTCTCTGTTCTCTCGCACTGCACTGATCTCTTGCACTGGTAAAAACCATAGGCCCCAAACCCAAATGCCTGTTGGTCCTTTACCAGGCCCCTACATTTATAGAAGGTGGACTGACCCGCCTCACTTCCTGTCTAGCTTACAAATGATAAAAAATAGGAAAAAATAAGAAAACAAAACAAACTATAAAATCAATTATTAACCTGCAAATAAACTCTGTAAATAATGCAAAAAATAGAAGTTTAAGAATAAACTAACAAAATTCAAATAGATAAAGAAATAAAGAATAAATAGCTCCAACATTAGGAATACACATTTCTGCAATTAATTCCAACAACAGGATTATTATTTTTCTATGGAAACATAAATCTCACTTAATAAGAAAATGTAATGTAATCAGTTTGAAGATGGACGACTGCAAGCTTTTCATTTGATTGAACGAACGACACTTTAAAAATAAAATGGCTTCGGTCTTTTTTTAAATTAAAAGGATTTATGGTTCTATATTCCAAGTAAAATATTTTCAAATCTGGCAGAGTTCGTTTTCTTCTTAGTTTGACTGTGATATTGACATTGTTGTCAATTTTATTTCGGCTTATTTTAAGACTGTTCATAATTCCTGCAGTGGTCAATTTAATAAACTGCATTAGATACGATAGTAGAATATTTAGTTTATTGCAAATGCAAATATAGATACGAGAAAGAAAACAGAAAGTGAATAAATTATCGGAGATAACCTACATTCAAAGACT